TCCAACACCTCATATAATTACCTTCTTTTTTGCATGTGTGGTGATAAAATCTACTCTTAACTATACTGTATAATGTACTTGAAAGTTGTTAACTATAGTCAGTATGTTGGACATTTGAGCCCCAGAATTTATTTCTCTTGTAACTGGAAGTTTGTACCCTTGACCAGCATCTCCCCATTTCCCCTACCCTCCAGCCCCAGGCAACGACCGTCCTACGTTCTGAGTTTGCCTTTTTCGGAATTCCTATCTAAATGGGAACATAGTTATTGTGTTTCTCTGACTTATTCCATTTAGTGTGAGACCCTCAGAGTCCATCCATGTTGTTGCAAAACGCAGAATTTCCTTCTTTCTCATAGCTGAATAATATTGGTGTGTATATCCATCCTTTACCCATTCATCTGTTGATGGGCACTTAAGTTGTTTCCTTGTCTTGCCTGTTATGAGTAATGCTGCAGTGAACATGGGAGTACAGATGTCTCTGAGATAGTGATTTCGTTTCTCGCAGATATATACCTACAAGTGGGATTGCTGGATCATAATGCAGTTCTGTTTTTAATTTTTTGAGGAACCTCCATAGTTATTGTTTTCCATAGTGGCTGCACCAATGTACATTTCCATCAACAGTCCATGAGAACCTTTATTGTGTATTCAGCAATTAGTGGAAGGAGGTCCCAGGATCAGTTCAACAGCTCGATGATATGATGGATTTAGGGTTTTTTCTTTTTTCTACTCGGGCATTCCACAGATTGACCTTTATTGTCCTCTGGTTTAAGGTTGGGATTATGGCTGTCATATTGACAAACATCACAAAATAATTGAAGTATCTCAAACAACAAAGGCATAAAAGATCTTTTACCTCACGCAATTGTTTAATCTTTGACAAAGTAAATCAGAGAAACAACTCTTATTCACAGCTTCTCCAACAGACATTACCTGGAATTGGGTAGCACGACCAACTCAGACTAATCCCTGCAAAGTGCACATTGTCTTGATTCATCACTAAGGACCGGGACTCAGGCGGACTAAACAAAATCGCATATTATGCTATACAATTCTGCTTCTGATAATAGCCACTTTTTGTGGATTAACCAGTTCTTATAGGCATAAGTACAAGTTCTGTCTGACTTAATGCAACAGCGTTTTGAGAAAGTTATTAACTGTGCATGCATAAAAAGGGTAAACCCTCTCCAAATTACCAAATCTCATGTTTCCAGTTCTGGCTCAAGTTATAGCAACACCAGGAAGCACAATGCAGTGAAAATAGCATGGTTGCTATTTTATTAGATGAGATAGTGAATGGAAATCATACAGATGTCTGATGATAAGCACAGTTTGGCTGGCAGTTGGTCCAGCGTCGGAATGTGTGTCTAAGACAGCGGTTTCAAAAAATACTCCCTGCCTGCCCTCCAGGAGCTTGAGGGTAAGGATGCTTGCTCCTTTTCCTTTGGAAAGGAATGTGGCAGCAGAAGAAAGGGCATTAATACAATTAAGGGACATTTCTTTCAAATCAATAGAAGTTATATTGCATACCAGTGGCTAAAAATAAAAATCTGTTCACTTCCCAATGGAGGATTACTTAATTAGGTCCTGATGTATCACTTGGAAGTAATGGATGTTTTTTACATAATAAAACCGTCATAGAAATTATTAGGAAACTTCCAGTGAATTTGCTAATGGAGAACTGTTTATATGGGGTGATTATAGAGCTATTTTAAAATTGTGTGATGTGAGAATAATCGCTATGACACAGGAGTTCACAGTTCTTGAATCTTTCTTTCCCAGGTTTTGTTCCAAGTACTTTACGTGGATCAGCTCTTCCATGCCCACAACGATCCCATGAGGTAAGCAGAATTATGATGTCCACTTTCCTGATCAGAGAGGCTAAAGGACTGTCTCAAGGTTGCAAAGCTGGTAAAAGGCAAAACCAGAACCTGAACTCAGGAGGTGTGGCTCCAGATCCTGTGCTCCCGACTGCTACCCTGTACAGTCTTTCCATGGAAGCACAGCTGGGGCTAACTGACCCAACTGTTGAAGCAAGGACACTGCTAATTAGCTGGTGTATCTAAGCAGGTGGCAGTTTGTCCTCAGGTACAGCTAAATAAAAAAGTTTCGTTTTGCCTGACTGGAATTCAGGAACAGGATGTGGATAATGCTCTAGTTCCTGATGGCGAGGAGAAGGGACAAGCCCATCGTGGATGGGCCCCGATCATCCACCCCTCTTTATTTATTTCTCTGTATCTCTAAATGGCCGCACTGTGTGGGGCGGAGCAGGACTAGTGAGGTCCATCTCTCCAACAACCTTGTTAAATATGAAGTTTAATTTTAGACATGGCAAGTTCAAATGACCCACTTGGTATCAGAGTAGAAAACAGAATTTGATCTACCATGGGAAACAAGATCCTAAATACCCAAGCGCAAGAACAGATTTGAAGATGCTTTATTAAGATCAAAGGTTTTTCCATTACATTTATTTAGAAATCCTTACTAGTCAAAAAGAAAATAAATAACAGAAATCCAGATCTTCAAGCAGCTTTTAATAATAGCTTTGTAAATCTATGAAGATTACAGGTTTGTTAATTTTAAATTATTACAATTTAGATACATTCAATCATTATACAATACCAGGAATGTCAGCCTTAAAGATATTAAGAACATCTATATAAGTAAAGCAACAGGAAAAAAATACTTCAATTTCACCTTTTTATTTTTAACTGACTCTAATTTGGTAATCACGGGAATATAGAATTTCCTGATCTCGGATTTTAAATATATGAACTTAAAACTACAAACATTCCTCTTCTCCCAAATAGTGGCTGACACTGTCTTGGGAGCCGGCCGAACTAGTACAGTGAGGAGCACCATGCACATCTCCTTGCTGGAGGAGGTCTGGGTGCAGACACAAGAGTCCAGGGCCTTCCGCAGCAGTTATCAACGAGCCCTTGGCACTGCCTTACTCAGTTTTAACCTAATCTCTAAACATCAAAATGGCCAGTAAACGTCACTTGCAAAGCCATGTACCTAATAAAAGATTTCTCAAATTGCTAGGGTTCAGTTCTAGTGTGGAAAGAGAGAAAGGTCTGGACAGTTATATTTTTAAGTAACACCCCATCACCACCGACAGCCAGAAGGACTGTTTCCACCACATTACACTAGCCTTTACCCCCACAGTAAAGAATCTGGTTGGACTGCCTAAATTACTCAGACAATTGCCTAGATAATTATACATTTCCCATTACTCGTTGTACAGGAGGTTTTGATTTATAGGAGATCTTAGTGTTCAAAGAGGAGTCTATTCTACCCAGACTCTCTGTGTAAGACTTGTATTTTCTTAGAGCAGCCATACAACTTTAAAGTATGGCAACCCAATCTTCCCCACGCCTTTAAAAATCTAAATGGCTTGCTATTGACTTTATAAACTTAGAACTTACTGTGTCTGGATCATGGTAAGTAACATTTAGTCTGATTGTTTTAGTGTGAGTGTCATTACAGCAGTTTTTGTGTCTGTTTCTAACATGAAATTTGACACATTTGAAGGAAATCCAGTGGATAATGCTACCAAGTGCACAGTGCACATATAACACTTGTGGGCTATCGGTGTACGAACAAAGGTCAAATATTTACATGGAATGTTGACCCTGACTTACAAAACTACTATTTTAAATTATGACATCTTTACATACAATTTATTTTATGAATAGCTCCATTTGATAATTAAAAAAATATGCCTTTCAAAGATTTCATAAATATATAAAATTTCACTACATTCTATTTTTCTTTAAACATGACATCTAAACTTTCTTTACAAATCAACAAAAAATATTTTTTGTTTGAAAGTCATAGATATGATTTTTGATTGGCAGGGTCTTACTGCATGCAAGAATGGCAAGACGTGTTCTCTTAAACAACTTACGGCCCTTTCTAGTATGCTGAAGTTCAGTAGTAACAAAGAAAAATGAGAGCCCATCTAAATTATTTACAAGAGTCTTTCTTAAAATTCTTTAAAAATTGTAAGATTAGGATGGTACCTGACCAGTGTTAAGAATTATTCTGATGATGATGAGGTAAGTTAACATTACACGGAAAGTTTTTCTAAAATACATCTTAGTGCAATTTAAATATATGATCAATTGCACATGTGAAAAATGATCATATTTTAACTGTATCAGTAACATGTAAAACATCTACTTTGAGAATAGGAATCACATTCTTATAATTTATTGGATGGTGACTCCGGAAATCCTGAGGATTTACAAATAAAAGTGTCCTTTGTAATCATTACTTGCCCCAAGATATCACCAACCTTACAAAGACTAGTACCATAAGGAAGGGCTTTGAGTTACTTATATAATCATTTTTAAAAGTCCTATCTCCCCTCATTAAGTATTTGAGTCACTGATATGTAGTCCTAAGAGGTCTTCTCAAGCTATAACATGCAGGCCACTCACTAAGGCAAATGTGTCATAATTCCTTTAAGAAAGATTTTTAAATACACTCTGACTATATTGTATATATGTAAGAAAAAGGTTGCGCTTTTAGAATAGTAAGAGGATGCCTTACTGTCAGCCTAGGTGAACCTATAGGGACCCATCCAAAGAAAAGCAAAGCTGTCCTGTTTGCCTGGAGCTGCTCAAGGCTGCTAAGCTAACACCTTCAACTGTTAACGTACCAACTTGATGGAGGGACCGCGTCTGAGACCCGCGGAAGCACTGAACTCCAGTATCAGTTCCCTAGCTGTTTCTCTCTAAAAAGTCCGACCTCATCTTGGAGATACAGCTGTTCAAAGCTCTGCTCAAAATACAGTACTGTGCAAATTTTGATTTTGGATCTTCTCAAATATTGTGTTCGGAGTAAGGCTGGATAAAGATACAAACAAAACCAACAGTTTTAAGCAAGACTGCTCATCTACAACAGTGATAAAGATTAAACAAGCCTACCACCAGCGCGGTAACGGATTTCATCATGCACTCTACAAGACAGATGACTGTGGGAATCTCCCTTCGTTATGAATGTAACCAGCTCACTGGAACCCAGTGGGCTTCTGTCTCTAATTTGTCAAAAGTTGTTTTTAGCTCATTGAATGCCACGGTGAGGTCATCGTTTACTATAATTTTGTCAAAAAGATGACCATACTGATTTTCCATTATCTGTGCAGATTTAATCATTTCCTGAAAGTCTTCTTCCTGCAAAAGGAAGAATTAAAAAAACTTTGGTTAACCAGGCAATTATATCACTTTACATGGATGCAGACATTTCCACAACTGGTTTATCAAATGCTATTCTGTGTTTATTCTTTCAGCCACAAATGAAAATGACCCTCTTGAACTGCAAGTTCTTCAGAGGTCATACCTTCTGATGTCCTCTCTTGGATCTGCTCAACTGCTTGCACAGAATCAAAGTTCCCACCTTTCGTGAATTTCAGGATTGTCACTCATTCACTTATTATTACAGGGATATTTCAGTCAATATAATTCAAAGATCTATTCATAGAAGCACAGAAAGCCAGTACAGCCAATCACTCAAAACGTATGTACCCAAATACAATTCTGTCTTTTACCGGGTTTTGGATCACAGCATCTACTACACCATGTCTTCCGAAGGTAGTGGCTCCCACATGTAGGATTTCAAGTACCACTTACACCTTCTTACTGAGTATCACTGTACTTACTGTAAAGGGCTTTGCAGCACCTTGGTCATCTCTGCTTGAAATAATCTTTGCATTTTTTCTTGTCTCCCTCAAACGCTCTATTGATGGAGGCTTTATAAATATCACGTAGGGCTTAAATTCTAGGGTCCTTAAGTGCTTCACTGTCTGCAAGGAAGAAAATAAGTCTTATTTCTTCATAATGTCATGAGTGAATTTTACAGTAAAACCAAAGTTTCTTTCAAAGGAGAAAATTCCTTAAAATTATCTAATTAAGGCCAGTAGCTCTTTCAATATTTTATTCAATCAGTTGTTGACAATTAAATGTCATAATTATATACCCCTGAAAAAATGTTGGAGAATATAACTTGCCTTTTAAAATGTTTTGAAATATGTCATAATTCATATTGGACAGAAGCAGCTAAAAATATCATAAAACTGATTTTTAAATCAAATACTCAAAAGATGCTATGCATTAAGGTCTTCCAACCATCCCACCTAAGCCTCTTCCTGATCTCAAATAGGAGTCTGTCATTCTCTCTGTCTTGTTTGCCATTCTGTCCTTTGGAGTGTCCTAAAAGGGCAAGACTTCTGCTTTCCATGAAGCTTGTCAACATTCTCCCATCAAAATAGCTTACATTATTTCCGCTATGCTTCTGAGGACTCGTCTACAGTCGAGGGGGAATGGCAAAAGGGTGGGACTGGAGGGAGCCTCTTGACCTGTGTGTCAGGGCCTCCTCAGAACCTAAGTACAGAACCACAAACTCCCCTGAAAGGTTATGGTGGGGTGTGGGGGTGCAGCTGGAGGATCCATACGTCCGGAGGGCTAGTGAGGCTCTCGGGACGGAGAGCTGGACCTGCACTGAGAGGGAGCTGGACATGACTAGACCCAGGGCCCTGGCACAGAGCTGGCTGCACAAGCAGGAGGAGTCTACTCATCGCCGGTGCCCACGTGAAGGGGTCAGCTGCACTACTGATTCTTGGGGCGCTTTGACTCCAGATTCATATCTTCCTGAAGAAGAATGAAGGGCTTCTCCAGGCCACTCTGGCTCTTGGAGGTTGTATACCCATCAGTGGAGCAAGACTCTGTGGCCCCTGGGTAACAAGGAAAACGCTATGGGTAGGGTCTCTGCTGGAGGAGATGTGGTTCGGTAAGAACGGAATGGCTTCATCCACTGGCATCCTCGGTCCAAAGTGTTCCTAAGTGTTCCCCAGCTGCCAGCAAGGATTCAGCTGACAGCCGCAGGAAGGATCTCATTCAGTTCAATTCCTGTGAAATGCCCCACAGCTCCATGTAGGGGGTGTACGCTTCTAGGCTATGTAGAGACTCAAAATGAAAGAAGGCCAAAATGTCCATTGTAAAAATTACAAACCCTTATACTTAACACTTAAAAATCCATTATACACGTAGCAATGTATTTTACACAGAAGAAATATCCAAGAGTCTTGTACTTGGCTAACACGGAATATAAACAAGAGTTACAGACAGATCTTGTGGCTTCCCCTAACTCCTCTTTTCTAATATTATGGGCCTTTTTTATTTTCCTCTCACCGGAGACTTCTCAAATTACATTTAAATGCTTTTGTCATTAGGAAAGCCGCAGATATGCCCCAAGTGAGCAGCCTTCAGATTTACCCCCAGACTGGAAGGTTCACATGGAGTGTGGCAGCTCACATGGGCCAGAATGGTACTGAATAGTTCATTGTTGGCTTACGTGAGGCTGAACATCCAACAAACAAACTTTGTTTCTAGCCAGGACGGACCGCACGGAGTCTATGCTTGTGCCGTAGTAGTTGTTTTTATATTCACCGTATTCAATAAACCTGTAGGAAATCAGAGCCATTTGGGAATTAATTATAGATATAAGTGGAAAGACATAATTCAAATATAGAAAAGATTTTTGCTGAACATGTAATTTTTTTTTTTTTTTACTGTGTTCAATAAAACAAGTAGGGCCAAGTCCTCCAGAATGTCAATTTTAAAAAATCTTTTATTTTACATTTTCAAATCAGTAACACTTGCTTGTATTACACTTAAGCAGAAAAAAAGTACTTCAGGCCAGCAGTACTCTGTTTTCCATCACCTCTTTTTCAGAACTAATGCAATGCAATAAAGCAGTGAATAAGCCAAACAACAGAAACTACTGAAATTTCACTGCACGCTACAGAATAACCACGCTCAGCTTTAGAACGACAGGAGGGACTGCCTGGTGGCTAATGGAAGCGGGGCAGCCGATTACGTGCTATAAAAACACAACCGCTGTGCCAAACATGGAAAAAAGCATTTTGATGTTTCAATAAAATCCCCAAATCCCGCATTAAAACACACATTGCTCCCTGATACCCTAAAATATTAACGCTGAAGCAAGTGGAGGACCCGGGGAGGTGGGGGGTTAGAGCTGGCCAAGGGACATGGTACAAGCAAGGTGATGAACAGTAATTTAATTTTTTGAAGAGCCAATGAGGGAGAGAGGTGCATGCGGGAGAGAGATCTATTACATCGTTGTTAGTTTTTTAAAGAAAATTCTATTCAAATTCTATGTTAAGATGCAATGAGTGGGGTGGAAAGAGGTCACAATAATATACGAGCAACATTCGCTCATCCTTCAAAATAATTCCTACCCATTGAACTTACCAGAAACATAGCAGCTCTAGGTTATTAAAAAATTACAGGTGAAGACTGGTAACACCTACTAACTGAATTATCACCTTTGTATCCCTTTCAGATATTATAAAACTTAAAATTTATTTCAAACAGAAGGGAACCCTCAGTTCCCTGAAACTGGATACAGAGGCACAGGCTTAGAAACAAGAGTCACACAAAAAACTGCCACATACTTGTTATTTTGTACATCTGTCTCGAACAAATGCTTGGAAATGAAAATATATTCCACACCATCGCTCTCCTGGCTTCTTCTTGCTCTGGTGGTGTCTGCGATTTAATTAAAAAGAGTTTACAAAAGTTTTCATCAGCTACCCTAAAGAAGACGCTAAAAAAGAAATCGTCATGTTTTAAAGTATTTTTCAGGGCATCTGGGTGGCTCAGTAGGTTAAACATCTGCCTTCGGCTCAGGTCCCAGGATCGAGCCCCGCATCGGGCTCCCTGCTCAGCAGAGAGCCTGCTTCTCCCTCTGCCCCTCACCCTGCTTGTGCTCGCGCTCTCTCTCAAATAAATAAAATCTTTAAATAAAATAAAAAATAATGTGTTTTTCATAAACCAGATTTAAAAACTTAGAAAAAAGCAAATTGATTAAAGTGTCATTCAGATTTTCTCTACCGATATGAAAGTGCAACACTAATTTGAATGTGGATTCAAAATTAAATTGCATTGTCTGTGCTATTCATTATTTTGAAGGTTATAATGTTAAATAAAAAACAGTATTTTTACCTGAGGAAAAGCTCCTGTCTTTTGCAGATAATATGCTTATTACCATATTTACTGATCTTTATTCACTGAAGCAAGCCTAATGCCTACTAGGTTGTAAGGTAAACTCTGAAATTATTTTACTCTCTTCCACACACAGCACATAGTAAGTATGCCATCAATGTTTTGTTTTTCTAATTGACTGAATTCGAAGACTCTATGTGCTATTCATTCCTCCTTTGCAAAATTATAAACACCTTCTTAGAATACGACTGAACTTCCAAATGTTCAGTAATGTTGCCTGCTACTAAGTTATAATGGCGCAGAAAATACAGGATTAACTGTAAAAACATAACCAAACCTAAGGAGTTGCATGCTGATGGGACAAGCAAAAAACTGACCATAGACCATCCTTCCTGCGGATTTCAGCTAAAAACTCTGGGTCCAGACAACTATCTCAGCACTTTGAAAATTAATAAAAAGCAGGTAGACTGTGGAGAGGAATCAACCTGCATGGGGTAGAGTTTTAACTTTTATTTCTTCTTAGCTTTGCCCTGAGGATGGAACATTTGCGGAGCATCATGCTGTTCTGTGTGACTAAATTCCAGCAGGAGCCCTTTTTGGTGAAAAGAACCAAGAAAAAACAAAAAGCCCTTACAAATTGAAGAGTGTGGCGGTAATCCAGGAAGACTGGGTGAAGAAGATACTCTAAAGCTGTGAAGGAACCAAAACTAGCTGAAGAATAACCCCTGAGCTAAACACTTGCAGTTCAGACTCAAGGTAACACAGCAATATTTTCATATGTGAACTGAGATTAGAATACACAAGTCTTAGCCTAACCCGTGAATAACAGCAGTACAGAACACCCCCAAACCAATGTGGAAAAGGCTTAGAGAACTGAGCCGAGACGAGCCGAGATTAGAACTATGCACACAACTACCAGACTCACCCCTGAACCACATGTGACAGTGAAGACCCAAATCAGTGTAGCAAAAACTTAAGAGAACTGAACTGAGATTGAAACCACAACTCACAGAAAATGAGACAGAACCTGCGGTATGAACATAAAAGGGTGATTACTTGCTAAAATGAAAACATTCTCCAGAATGTTGACTGCCCTCCACCATCTTCCTGCTTTACTCATTTTCAAAGTGCTCCAACCGCTATCTCGGGCCCAGAGTTTTTAGTTGTAATCAGCAGTAAGGATGGGCTATATCCAGGTTTTCACTTGCCATGTTGGCACTGCAACTCCTCAGGGTTTTTGTTTTTAAGTTAATCCTGTATTTTCTGCTTCACTGTAAGCAGGACCTAGAGTTGATACAACACTGCATTCATAACATCCAGAATGCAATTTAAAATCATTTAATATAAAAGAACCAAGAAATTATGACTAATTCTCAAGGGGAAAATGGTAGATGGCAACTCTGAATGACCCAGAAGTTAGAACTACCAAAGAATTCAAGAATTTAAGAACTTATGTGTTTAGAACTGTGTTTTATAAGGTAAAGGAAAACACATCTGAAATGAATGGAAATATGAATTCTCAGAGAAACAGAAACTATAAAGGAGAACCAAATGGAAATGTTAGAACGGAAATATACAATATCTAACAGAAACAAGTTGCTAGATGGGCTAGGTAGCAGAATGGAGAGGACAGAGAAAAAAGTCAATGAACTTGAAGGTAGATCAATGGAAATTATAAAATCTGAGCAACAAAGAAAAAAAAGATTGAAAAGATATAAATGGAACCCGAGGGACCTGTGTAATAAATGTGTAATTTGGATGCCAGAGGAGACGAAAAAGATATTAAGGCAAAAAAAAAAAAAAATGTATTTGAAGAAACAGTGGCCCCAAACTGCTAAAATTTGGTGAAAGACATATATTTTACAAATTTCAGAAGCTCAACAAATCTCAAATAGGATAAATTCAGAGAAAAATCATGCCTAGACACATCAAAACCAGAGTAACTAACAGCCAAGGATAAAAAAAATCTTGAAAGCATCCAGTAAAAACCAATACAGTACACATGAGGAATAATGATTTCAGTGACTACAGATTTATTATAAATCGTAAAAACAAGAACTCAATGAAATAATATCTAGACTTAAAGTACTGAAAGAAAAGAACTTCACCTAAAATATCCTTCAGGAGAAAAAAGCAAAACAAACACCTTTTCAGAAGAAGAGAGACTAAGAATTCATCAGCATATCTGTTCTAAAAGAATATTCAAGGAAGTTTTTAGGCTAAAAGGAAATGTTAAGAAGGAATTTATATCTTCAAGGAATGAAAAAAGAGCAACAGAAAGAACAGTTGAGTAGAAATAAAAGTCTATTTTTTCCTCTTACATTACTTAAACATACATATACATATATATAATATAGACATACATATATATATAAAATATATATACAGCTGATTTTTTTTAAGATTTTATTTATTTGACAGAGAGACAGCGAGAGAGGGAACACAAGCAGGGGGAGCGGGAGAGGGAGAAGCAGGCCTCCCGCCGAGCAGGGAGCCCAATGTGGGGCTCGATCCCAGGACCCTGGGATCATGACCTGAGCCGAAGGCAGACGTTTAACCGACTGAGCCACCCAGGCGCCCCACAACTGATTTAAAAGTTATAATATCTGGTAGTTTTCAATGTACGCAAACATAACACATTTGTCAACTAGAACAAAAAAGACTAGGAAAAGGGATTTATATGATTGCAAGGTTTCTATATATTATGTGAAACTGGCATGAAGTTAACTCTAAGTAGACTGTCTATGGTTAGACACTAAGCATGTTGTAATCCCTAGAGCAACCAGTAACAAGTAATGCAAAAACATATAAGCAGAGAGCCAGTAAGTAAACTGAAATGGAACACTAATAAACATTCAAATAAAAAAAAAATAAAAAGCAAAAAAAAAACACAAAAAAACCAAACGGGATAAACAGAAAAACTTAATCGTAGCTTAAATTTAATCATTTCCATAATTCAATAAATGTTAATTGGTTTATATACTCCAATTAAAAGGCAGAGAATAGGTGAAAAAGCAAGACCTTAGTACATGCTATTAGTTTATAAGAAAGACACATTAAAGACACAGATTAGCTGAAAGTGAACAGATAGAAGACAGTATATGTACCATGTAAACAGTAAGCATAAGGCGCTAAAGTGGCTACTTTAGTATCAGACAAAAGAGACTTGAAGAAAAAGTATGACCAGAGACAAAGACGAATGTTTCATAATGATAAGAGAAACTTAAATTAACAATTCTATATTTGTACACACATAATAACAGAACTTGAAAGTACATGAGGCAAAAATTGGCTGAGTTAAATGGAGAAATGGACAAGTTCACAATCAGAATGGATTTTACTGCCTCTCAACAACTGATAGAACTAGACAAAGTCTCAGTAAGACACAGGGGATCTGCAAACCATCACCAACCTCAGGGGTCTAATTAATACCTGTGTAATACTACATCCAGTAACTGAAGAATACACATTATTTTCAAGTGTAGATGATGCATTTGTCAAAAGGTAGATCATATGCTGGCCCATAAAAAGTCCCAATGAATTTAAAAGAATCCAAATCATAAGGAGTAAATTCTCTAACCATAAAATAATGAAAAACTGATAATATCTAGGAAAACCTCAAATATTAAATAACACCTCAAAATAATTATGACTCAAAAATGAAATAATAAAAGTGAGCAAATACTGTGAAGTACATGAAGAATACAGTGCGTAGCAGGAAACTTAAGCCTTTACGTACTTATATTAGAAAAGAAGACCTAAAATCAGTGAAAGTTCATCTTAAAAATTGCTAGAAAGCAAAGATCAAAGTAAACCCAAGCCAAGGAGAAGTATACGATAAAAATTTAAAATCTAGTTAGTGATTAAGAAAAAGAGAACAAAAATCACCAATATAAATAATGAAAAAGGAGTTATTACCAGAGATCCTATGAACATTAAAAAGGATTAGAGAATATTATGCATTACTTTATGCCAACATTTTTGACAATTTAGATGACATGGATAAATTTCTTGAAAAGTATAAAGAATCAAAATTGAAACAAGAGGAGACAGTATCTGAACTACTGTATCTACTGAAGAAATCTATTATTTAAAGATTTTATTTATTTGAGAGAGAGAGAGCGCACACACAAGCAGGGTTAGGACCAGAAGGAGAAGTGGACTCCCTGCTGAGCAGGGAGCCTGACATGGAACTTGATCCCAGGACCCCAGGATAATGACCTGAACCAAAGGCAGATGCCTAACCAACTGAGCCACCCTGGCGCCCCTAAAAAAATCTGTTTTTTAAAACCTTCCCCCAAAGATTCCAGGTCTAGATGGCCAATGAAGTCTGTCCACCATTATGAATGAAATAACACAAATCCTACATCAACATATTTTTGCATAAAGACGAATCACTGCTTAATTCCTTTTATGATATTAGTATAACCCTAATAGCAAAATCTAACAAAGACATTAGAAAACATTACACACCAATCTCCATCATAAATTTAGGTGCAAAAGTCCTTAACAAAAATATTAGCAAGTCAAATTGGAAAATACAT